TGCTGCTGCTGCTGCTGTTGCTGCTGTTGCTGCTGTTGCTGTTGCGGTCTGGCGACCGATGAGGGCCGCAACCGAGCACACAACATAAGACAGGCCGTAAACCCTAGGCCCCAAACCCTAAACCCTAAACCCTAAAGCCTAAACCCTAAACGTGTGTGGCCCAAACTGAGCAAACCCCAACAAGTCTGCCCAGGGGGTACCAGGAGGCCCCTCGAGCTGCTTTTTGCTGCGCTGGGGGCCCCTAAGCCGCAGCAGGGGGGCCCCCAGCCTCTCGGGCTGCAGCAGCAAACCAAAAAGTACTAAAAAGGCAAAAAAGAGGCAAAAATGAAACAAAAAGACGAATTCCTGGAAAAAACAGGAACACAAGTAATTTATTCACCCATAAACTGTTCCAAATACCATTTTGTTGCCTCTTGGGGGGCCCTTGGGGCCCCCGGGGGCCCCCTGCGGCCCCCAGGGGGCCCCCGAGGGGCCCCCCGGGGCTACTGCTGGAGCGTTCTTCTATGGTAGGCTCATGTGGCTTATTAAGAGTTAAAATGAATTTAAAAGGATAAAATAAAATAAATTTAATTAGCTTAATTTATTTATCTTATTATTTTCAACTTTTGGAAACAAAAAGGGAGAAAACTCTGTGGGGCTCTTCGGCGGGACTCCCGGCTTGCTGCTGCTGCTGCTTCTGCTGCTGCTGCTGCTGTTGCTGCTGCTGCTGTTGGTTTTCAAGCATTTAGAGGTATTTCCGAGCTCTCAACGGCTGTGGTTCACCCCTAACCCCAGCAGCAGCAGCCGCAGCAGGCGCAGCAGCCGCAGCAGCCGCAGCAACAGCAGCAACAGCAGCAGCAGCAGCAGCAGCTTAAGCTGCCCGTCTTATTCACGATGGCGCCCGTGACCGCGTTCGCGTCCTCCTCCCCTGCGTCCTCCGGCTCCCCCAGCAGCAGCAGCAGCAGCAGCAGCAGCAGCAGCAGCAGCAGCAGCAGAAGTTTGACGGTGTGTCTGCCGGGGGAGACGCACACTCTGGGGGCTGTGCTGCGCACTTTGCTGCTGCAGTCGGAGACAGTCGAATTTGCAGGTTATTCTGTCCCCCACCCCAGCCAGTGCTCCATGAATTTGAGGGTTCAAACCACAGGCAAGTCGAGGGTTTAGGGTTTAGGGTTTAGGGTTTAGAAGTGGGGTTTAGGGTTTGGGGTTTAGGGGCAGGGCTTAGGTATTTCAGGGCCACACAGTGCTCCATGAATTTGAGGGTTCAAACCACAGGCAAGTCGAGGGTTTAGGGTTTAGGGTTTAGG